CCTAAATGTACCATGAACTGCGCCTACCAGATTGGACCACCCGGCTGAGTGCGACTAGAACCCGGATCACAACCGGTCCTCCATGGGCCGCTACTAACGACCACATCAAAGAGTCAAGACTAACAACACAAGATTTTGCAGTAGAGTTCAACTTATCTGTAATTGAAGTTCAGTCACTGTATGATGTAGCAAAAGCATGAGAGGGAAGGAGATTTACAGATAACACATGAACACAACTCGTTCTTTTATTTTTGAAACAATTTCACAAATCTGATAACTGCCTCGTTCAGTTACAAACTGTCTGCTTCTAATACATAAAAGTCCTAATACATATTAATTAATAATAAAAGTCCACAACACATAAATAAACATAACTAAATAAAAATAAAAATATAATATTAATAATCACACTAAAAGCCATAATAATAAAAGTCCACAACACCAACAGAGTTGACTCAAGTGATAAGCAGTTTGATATCGCTTAAGCAAGGTCTTGGGTTCGAGTTCTTTTGAATGCAGAAAACCCTTGTTGGGAGACTCACCCACCAAGTGTGCGACCGGCTCGACCAACGGATTAGTCGGGGCAACGCTCCGAATACCGTGGATGGCTACCAAAAAAAAAGTCCACAACACATAAATAAACATAACTAAATAAAATATAATAATAATAATAATAATAATCACACTAAAAGTCAGAGTCGATCATATGTGTCGAGAAATAACAAGATACTCTCGTCGGCATCACTGTATCTACCTATTTATTTATTTTTTTTTTTTACCGTTGGATCAATTTTTCATAGATTTTCTACGGTTTGGATCACAGACATTTATGGTAAAAAATTCGATTACAATGATAGAACCTTCCAAGACTATGCGATACATGCTTTTGCTTTCCCTAAATGTAATTAGTTATTGGAAAAAAAGGGCCAATGAGAAAATTACAAGCGAACAAAAATTTGGTGGAGTAGTAGTACAGTGTAATGTGCTGAACGAGATGCTTTTTTATTTAGTGGGATTTGACGTAAGCGATGACGTATATGACTCTGGCTCATCCAATAATGGGTTGCGTTGGAGATTTGACCAGCAATCATTTTCAAACATTCGTTTCTAAAATGATTAATTAATTGAGAAAATTACATAGTTTACTAAATATTTACAACATTATTGCACATTTACAACCCTTATATATTTATTAGCAAAGTAACTAAAACTTATTATATTATTTACATATATACTAGAAGTTGGTTTGAATAGGTAACTACCCAAATTATATGGTCTCTCCTTCTCATCCCTCTCTCTCTCTTCTTCATAAATCATAACCTACGTTCATCTCTCTCTCTCTCTCTTCTCCTCATCAATCTCTCTCGCTCCTCCTCAACCCTCTCTCTATAACCCGCTGCCGCAACAAATCTAGCGTGCTGATGGCGCACTCCGCGGCTTCGCCAAGTTCTTCGTCATTGCTGGCTTCTCGAGCGTGTTGATGGTGGACGAGCAACAATTTCCGACGGTTGGGGAGATTTTCGATGGTGGACTCCATCGTCTTCCCCTCGTCGCACAATTCTCGGTCGCGAGGAACAAGGTTCAGAGTGTCGGGCTTTATCCGAGTGGCGATGAAGATGAACTCCGCCCTGGTAATGCCCCTGATCTATGCGGCGGTTGCTACCAATGATGCTCCGCGAGGATATGGCCATTGATGTCGTGGTTACAGGGACGATGAATAAAAGGGAGAGATTTTTTTTTTTTTTTTTTTGCAGTATATGTTGCGTATATAGACGGTATATGTTCAATATATATTTTCATTGGCGTGTTTCTCATTTGGCCCATATTTAATTTTTTTATTATATATTGACTACAAACACTATATATACAATTGTATATATTTTGTATATAATGACAAGATTGATTTATCTCGTGTTTTTGTATTCATGTCCTCCGTATATAATGAGTATATTTTCTGTATATAAGTATAATATTGTATGTTGCATGTATTAAACCATAAAATATACTATAAATATACCGAAAATACACGAGATGTAAATAACGCAAAAAATGATTACGAAAATATAAAATTACCTGGTTTATTTTATATATTTTCTGGACTTATATATTTTCTGTATATCTTATGTATATATTATGTATATATTTTGCGTGAATGTAATTCTGATTACTTGATGTTTTATCATAATTTATTTATACTCTTATTGGTTTATAAACATATAATAAACTAGAAAATTTTAGGTAAAAAAAAATTATTTTAAAATTTATATGAAGAGATAATTAAAATTTAAAGGAATGAAATAATAAAGATAGAAGAGATGAGAGAGGAGATAAAATAACGGAGAAGGAAAACAGAATGAATTGGAGAGTGTAAATAAAGAGAATTTTTAGGAGTAGATAAATGAGAGAAGAGAGATAATGTATGTAGTATTTATTTAAATATTTATGTTAGATTAGATAGATTTGCAAATAAATTTTTTGTGTGATATCTTTACAATTATTTAGCAATAAGTTAAGTACATATGTAAATTCCCCTTAATTTACATGACTTAAAAAATCTAGCAATAAAGTTTCATCAGCCTATCGCAACATGAATTTGACGTCGTTGATTGTCGATTTCTAATCAACCATTTAGTCCTAAACTAGTGAATGAACTCTTATTTTAATTTTATCTTTTTTTTTTTTTTCTATGTGCAATAACCCTCTAAATATAATTCAGGCTTTGTGATGTTAATAAAAGGAAATTTCACTTTATGCTTTCGTTTGTACTAAATAAGTGCAAATAATAATAATAATAATAATAATCATATTAAATTGAAATTCAAAATATTTATTGGACAAAAATAAGAAATAACAAAATTGATGCAGACCCTAGTAAGATATTGTCCGCTTTGGGCTACTTCCGCCGCCCGCACGGCTTTGTTCTTGGTTGGGCTTCAATACACACCCACCAAAACGCGTCTTACTAGTGAAGGTATCCACATCCTCATATAAGGCCTGCTTCGTTTCCTTTCAAACCCGATGTGGGATGCGCTGCATCATCCACCCCCCCTTGTGGGCCCAGCGGTCACCGCTGGCACATGGGCTGGCTCTGATACCAACTGATGTAGAGCGTGGTAGACAACAGGGAAAAAGAGATGAACTCTCGTTCAATTTCAATAATTTGTTCAAAATGATCTCCCCTTTCGAATAGATGAAGGCGACATATAAATCCTACACTCCTATTCCTACTCAACTTGCCTGATAAGATAGGCTAGATAATTATTTAGTTACCAATAAAAATCAAATACTAAGAAAATAAAATAAACGGCTAAATAATACTAGGAAATAAATAAACTAAATATGAAGCCGTCCAAGAATACAATTGAAGTCTCGTCTCCATCATCCTCTCCCGCTTGAGAAGAATTCGGCCGCGAATTCGAAATGGTCTCGTCTCCATGTGTACAACTCAAGGTTTTAAATAGCGGGCTAAAACGTTTATGGCACTGTAGCTATAGCGGAGCTATAGCGGAGATTTAGCGGGATTTAGCGGCTAAATTGCACATGAATACAAATA